GACGAACGTGGTGCAACCCTACAACATGGACTGCACTTTGCTAGAGAGGAAAAAGCGTCTGCAGCGTATGCCATGCGGTTTGCCGTACGACCCATCTGCGACTTTAGTACACCCTGGCGCTTGGCCTTCATTCGTGACTGCCCCCGATTCCGCCCCCGCCGTTGGCTCCGCGAATTCCCCTTCCCAAAAAGGGGTCTCCGCGAAATCCTTGGTGTCCGAGTTGCGTATTCCTCCCGCTGGCTCTGCTAGCGTAGTACCTTCGGCTGATAGCGTCCCGCCCACTGGTCCCACCAGTGTAGTACCTGCGAGTGAGAGCGTCCCGCCCGCCGGCTCGGCCGACGCAGTACCTTCCTCGGCGTCTGAGCTTGTGTGAGTGGGTACTTCTCCGGGTATTGATCTTGGAGATGCGAGTGTGCTCACCGACGAGCAGCTCATAGATGGCTATGATGACACCCCGTATCAAGATTGTTTCCCCGTGTTTATCCCAGAGAGTGACGCTGCGAATGTGGCTGGTGTTTTGGATAGCATTGATGAGGGTGCTGATTTTGACTTGGGCGCGGACGCGCTTGGCCCTGGTGCGTCACCGTTTGCTCTTGGTTCGACTGAAAAGTCCGTTGACATCAACCGCTTCCACCGCTCCCTTGCCCACGCTTGCGAGCCTCTTTTCAGAGGAACTGCCCAGCAGAGAGGCATCGTGCTCACGGGCAAGCTGGAACCGTGCACGGACTGCATGAGGGCGAAGGGCAGGCGAGGGTCGGTGCCGCGGGGGGCGGGAGCGCGGGCGTCTAAGCACCTCGGGCGTGTTCACCTGGACCTGTGTGGACCGCTGATACCCTTCCTAGGCGGCAACCTCTACCTGTTCGTTACCGTGGACAGCGCCTCGTGGTGGAACAAGGTCTACGGTCTCCGGCGGAAGTCCGACGCGCTGGCGGCAACGAAAAGGCTGCTGGCGGACGTGGGGCGGTACGACCTCGGGCGCATCGAGTGTTTCCGCGTCGACAACGGCACCGAGTGGACCCGCGGCGACTTCCGGCGCTTCTGCGACGACAACGGCATCGGCGTCGAGTTCACACCTCCTGGCGTTCCACAGTACAACGGCGTCGTCGCAAGCGCCATCTGGCGCATCATGAAGGCCGGCATGGCCGCTCGCCGCAGCGCTGGCCGTGTGTTCAACGTCGACTTCGCCTCCATCCCCGGCCTTGACGAGCGCGGTGACCGTTTTTGGATGGAATCGGCGAGTTTGGCGGCGCTCGCCGCACGAGATGTTCACCGGCGAGCAGGGGCCTTTCCGCGTGCTGCCGTTCTTCCAGCCCGGCTTCATGCGTGAGGATCGCCGCACCAAGCTCGACGACCAGGCCACCCTCTGCTACTACCTGAACGGCGGCGACAACCACCCGAGC